TAATGAAAAGATCTATATTGTACAGTTAATTAAATAATTTAAAAAATAAAAAAAACATGAGTATCTTGTTTCATTGAAGTACATATTTAAAGAGATCGCCAACAGACAAGCGCACATCGAAGGCTGTTGATTTTTGTTAATAACTTTATTATAATATTGCTTCGCTTTTATTTATATTACATATTGGTTACTTTCAAAATTTACATTTACATGATACAATTTTTTTTTTTTTTCAAAAATTTGGTACAGTAAAAAATTAACAAGGAAAAGAGTCAGTTCAGACTTGTTTGTGGCTATTTTAAAATCTGTAGAATGAAAATATAAAAAATATTTTATAATAGAGAAATCATAGTATGTTGATGTGATTGTGTCAATAAGTTTGTATTAATGTTTAAGTAGAGATAAAGAATACTCATTAATATTGATATTTAAAATGATCCACAGTCATAACAATTGTATTGCAAACAAAATCTCATAGATGGGATTTATTTCTTATTGAAAAATTAATTTTAAATATACAATGAAAGCAAACATATTATGTACCAACTAAACAAAGATATATAATAAATGCAAAGATATTAAATAATGTTCTTCTTATTGAATGTGTACAAAGAGAGCTTTAAAGCTCCAACAGGCTCATGCTGAAGGATGTACATAAAATAAACTCAATATTAGTAAAACATATAGGATAAAAAAATAACACATTCAGATTAAATATCTGTCGGTGTGCATTATCATATATATTTTTTAAATCCTTTAAATGTTAAGCACGTTCAAATCCCTTACAGAAGATTTCAGATCCCCGAGGATATAAAAGATACAATCGACCTATAGCAGGATTAGGACTATGAAAAAAAAGTGAAGAATTCGTTGGAAAAGCAATCGTAAATGGAACGATAAGGAGTCTAAAACTCGGATTCGATCGGTTCGTAATTCACAGCAGGGGTCACCTGCGGGTTGAGCTCCTCTGACATTCCAGTGAAATGTTTTATTCAGGTGAGCGGAGTGGCCCGCGCCACGCAGCCCGGCCTGGTCTGACTCATTACAATACGTTCATTGCCGGCGACGGTTCGACAGCTGACTTCAACCGTGCTAGACAACGAGACCGATTAAAATTTCATCTCTTTGTTAGGAACCTGGAAACGGATCGATCTACTCCACTATCATTCGCCTGGCATTATTAATTAAGACTGTGATTGAATTTATCTATTCATCGATATGGAACATCAATGATAATTCCATTACTATGCAAAATAAATGATTTCAATGAAATTAGTAGATTGCGTTAGTTTGTACACATAGTGCTTTTGTGTTTTTAACAACGAGGATATAATTTCATTCGAACCGGCTCACATTATTTTTAGTATTAATGTAAACATATATTCGAAATAAATATATATCAAAATCATACCAACTCATATTAAATATTTTGTACCGTTAACTGACCATTTTGTTGGGTTTTGACGCTGTTTTTGCAGTTTATCGTTTTCACAAACATTTATAGATGCAAGTCAGAGTAAAAAACCCGATAAATACTCTGAAATAAAGATTTTCATCGAATCTCTATTTATTCTTAAAGAATACAAATCATTAGTATAAAACTGTATCGCAACTTGCAAGTATTTTCCAATAACAAAACGTACATTGTAAATGTTGAAAAAAATAAAAACCATTGAAGTAAAGCTCTACAAAATAGTGATAAGATGTCGTTGAATTGAACCATGTTTACCGAGTTCAGTCTATGCCAATTAAAGAGACCCTGATTGGAAGCGATTCTCTAGTGAAACGCGAGATGAATAAAAAGATTCTTGCAAAGTGTACTCATCTAACAAAATCATTTTTTTTCCCGTGGTTTTCTCCCTTCAATTTATATATGTAAAATTTGGTTCGCAGTATTTTTTAACAAACACAGTTGTGTGATAACATAACTTACTCGCATTTAGAGGGGAGACAAAGAAGGCCATTCGTTTTGGTATTACGATATCGAACACCCTAGCCGCCGGTCGTTGTGGAGGCGGCGAAACTGTAGACCTTCGATTTTTCAACTAGCGTGACTTGATTCTTATTAGGGATCTACCGCTATAAGGCTTATAGTATTTGTATATTATTGGTACAGGCTTGTTCAAGTTGCAGAATGCGTTAAGGTGGTGTACATAATACTTGGGTGCTATTGTTTTCCTCCTAACGATACAAGGATGCTGTTAATTTAAAGGAATAAATCAGACTTGCTTTATATTCCCGTCAGAGCCGACAAGAAACCTTGGAAGCTATTACAGTAGCCGTAATGAGATTTAGAGCGTTCATATAAAGTTATTTATGTGCAGAACGAGACTTCTAAGTTATGGTGTACTAGCGAGGACTTATAAAGGAAAGCTTCTTGTTACTTGTAGGGTAAAATGTTAACGTCATATATAATAATAGTCGAAAAATGTTTTCCTTTACTGTTATTTGATATAATGAAATTGATAGCCCTGGTGCTATTATTTATATGTGTCTGGTACTTAAAACTACACCGTATATGAGAATATTTCTTGAACAATACCTTTACCACCCTATTATTATTGTTTTTATTTTTGGAGTAGAATGATCGATCATGTGGTTGTGCCCATACAATCGAATTCCTTTGTCCGGGGTGAGGGCTTATATACCTACATATATTTATTTGTAAATATACATATATTGTAAAACAGGTCTTGACCAGCAATTTTGCTCGTGCATTTTTGTTTTGTGTTTTCATACAGAGTGTCAATGCAGATTAAAGATTTATTTTCTGTCAGTGACATGAAAAAGGGCGAAAAGGAAGCAAACAAACAAAGAAACAATGTTCCGAACGCATTAAGAATATTATTTAGGATAATGAGTCGTGGAGATATTTAACCAAGACCGCTCAGTAAACTTTGCAAAGCTCTTCCAGATGAAATAAAAGGAAGTTTGTTGACGCCTTAAAAGCTTTGAAAATGTTTTACATAAATGATTTTTATATTTAAAATAATATGAATCAGATTATAATATGAATAGTTTCTAAGTCAAGCCGTCGATATAAAGTTTTTATCGTTGTTTTCATCAAAGGGAACGAGCCCATCAGTGTATGTATAAAAACTGTCATTATCGATGTAGGCACTAGGCAACGTAGCGGCAAATGCCGACGTTGTTCTATCATGGCCGGCCGGTAACACAATAGTGCAAACAAACGCTCGGACACCGCGCCTCGCGATGTCAATTAAGCTAATTAAACACACAGTGGGGCAAAGTGGTTGTATGGTCGCCAATCCCAATTCCTACTCACACCCTTTATATACTCTACTGTAAATGACATATTATTTCACTTATAAATTCGTAACTAGAACATCCTTATCACGTTTATCGTTTGCCTCCATTATGAATATTATATTTATTAATAGTAAATAAATTTATTGCTATTTCTTTTAATTATAAATGATATAACATGAAACCTGATATGAAACTCGTTGCTGCAGTGGAGTAGTAATAGCTCACTGATGAAATTATGGAAATGAGCGGTGAAAAGTCAAATAATAGAATGAGTGCTAACAAGAGATAAGACAGGACTTAATTAATAAAGTTTGCGCGTTTGTCTTGGGGCGACGCGCGGAAATCGTCCAAGATCTTGGATACAGATCGGATAATCGCATTTAGCTAATTGAGAGTTAGATTGACGCTATCGGGTTATGGCGTCAGTTTGATTCCCTGTAGCATTTTTCATCGAGGCAGACAAAGAAAACAAAAATTGCTGAGCAACTTTTCTCTAGAGGCTACAACTTAATAAGTCTCATCAATGTTTTTTGTAAGGAATTATTATTATAAGGTATTGGGAATACTTGTCTATTTTCTGTCTTTTTTATTACTAGTGCGGTAGGTACTTAATAACCAGCGAAATGTATTAGAACACGTGACCTGAAAATATCACCACGTGTATAACGATCTTTCAGAATTCGTTATAACGCAATGTATTGTTTCGTTATGTATTTTAAACATGCAAAAGTAACCAGTGTATTAACGTTTCAAGGATAAACCTCTTACCGGTTTCGGTCAAAATAGGCAGGGGTGATCACTAGGGAGAACATCGTATTTTATTGAAAGGTATTTCAGGAAATTATATTACATACAAATAGTAAATAAATTTATGGTTACATAAATAAAAAAGGAATTTCAATTAATACCGAGAGAATTTTATTTTTAAATGAATCAATTTAAGTTTCTTTCATATAAAGATACATATGTATACGACATATTCCTTAAAGAATATTTTAAGTTTTTATAGATTTTTCGGTGCTATAGTGATAAAAAGTATGAGATATCGATGAATAAACTAACAAAAAATAATATAAACCTCAAGGTCGTGTGTCAAATTACACAGCTGTTTAATAAATACACTTTAACAAATAAATAATGTATATACTTTATTTATTACGATCATCGTGAGTTTAAAACATCTGTATATTCGTAAACATATTATTGTTTCATAAGAACATTAATTATTATCGTTAAAAAATAATAAAAAAAATTAATATCTTTTTTTGCAGGACGAAAAGGAAATTCGGATACAATTATCATTACTAATTAAAAATTGATTGCTTACTTATACGTTGGAATTATTATTTATTTTGAGTTAATATTTTAAAAACATGAACAACATTTAATATTATAGTAATAAATTTAGGAAAAATTGCAAATGGCTCATTGTCATACTAAATCTCTTTCGAGAATTTATTAATATATGGGAAGAAAATAAAATAAAAAATTTAAAATATTAGCGTGATTTATGATGACCTCAAAATATTAAAAGAATCGAGAGAAAGTAACAAAACTTTAAATAGATTACAAACAAAATCTTATAAAAAACAGTAGTAACTCAAAATTGTATTTATAAAGTCAATTTCTAAAATCATAAAGGAACGAGTCCCTTATTAAAGAAGTCCTGTTTTAGAGGGCGACGGAGTGACTAAGTACATTATAAAAAGTGTATTTACACTCGACCTCACGAGGCGGACGGAGAAACTTTCGTTTTGGGCATTTTATGGGTGGAAAAATTGAGAAAAGTTGGAGCGTAACGGCCGGTGGCGACGCGAACTAAAGGTTCCGACGGAGGAGAGTTTAATATAATATGTAAATCGAACGGCGATGTCGTGACCTCGCTCTTCATCGGCAAACTCATATCGTGTCCTGGACATATTACACGGGGAGTCGTAAATTATTTTGCAAAAGGCAAGCCAGCAGTTTTACGGCGGCGACCGGCAGATGGGGCTCCACGTCAGCCCACCGAACAAGGGTTACGAGCCTATGAATGCAAATGAGCCGAGCTCCACCGTCCTCCGTCATCTTCTTACGTATATCTCTGACGATGATTATTTAAAACGTTCTTACCACTTCTTAATGCTAGGCGGAGATGACTCTTATAAATTACCTGTAAAAACAATAAAAATATTACAGCAACATATGTCAAAATATAGAATTCATATAGGATTCAACTGAATGAGTTTTAACGACTATATCTTTGTAAGTGAATACTAAAAATACGTAACAAAAGCCCTTTTCGAACTGCTAATTGAATAAATTATGTTTAATAATGTTATTTAACTGCCACTTTCTTCACGGCACCTGAATTATTTTATAGCTGTATTTAAAATTCATGCAGCAAGCGAATTATAATTTGTAATTCATGATCTTCACTTGTTACTAAAAGAGCATTTCTCATAAATCTTGAAACAAGCTTGTTTGTGTTTTCGTATAACTAAAGATATAAATTTTCAGTTATCAAGATAGGAAACACCAATTTAGTGTGGCGTTCACAATATGAGGAAGGTTGAGTTTATGGGAACTTATTCAGTACATATTATGTATTTAACCCATATAGCACTGGATCCGAAACTTTCGCGAGCTCGCTATTTACAAGCTTTTCTAACAACACAAAAACAACGATACATCAGAAGTTAGTTGCAAGTTAACTGTACTGTCATTGAATGTACTAATACTTACTCTAACTGACATTTGTATTAAGGAACCTAGCTTCATTTATTTATTTAAAACATATCTTGACACCCCACAATCATGTTCTTTTGGAAGTTTGTTAAATTCTTCTTTATAAGATTGAAAAGACACAAAGGGAAGCAGCGTATTGCGTAAGATATAAATCGTGGCCCATGGGCCATAACGCACGAGTATTCATATTCTATTCAGGAGCATGGCAGAGAAAAAGCAAAGGGAGGAGCGTTAAGAGGAACGTCAAAGGGCGGGGCTTTTAAGAAAAACCAGTAGTTAGATTAAAACACATAAGATACTCAACGGTCTCTTTGTTGTTGCAAAGTGATGATGCTTTCAGCTTTGAGTCAGTAAGGCATGAGGATGAAAACTTTTTACTATTAAAAAACATTAAGAGAAGGAAATATAATTTCAATAATACTTTATGAATTTATTTGTAACAAATAATATCTTTTATGCAAAGACTAAATTCTCCGGAAAATTTATGATTTTTAGAATGCTATATTATTTTTATTTTTTAATTGTAGTTGAATTCTTTTTTAAACAGGAAAACTTAAATAACGAATTTAAATATAATTCAAATATATATAATTTATATTTGTACATACAGACTTCATTTATGATTTTTAATTGAGTTTTAGAAATACCATTACCAAAATAAAATACATAAGGATGGCAAAAATTGCCCCTACGAAGACAATAAAGTAAGAAAAGCGCACAGTTTAAAACTTTCCTCGACGAAATACGTCGAAGCGACGCCTAAGAAGTTGTAAGACTCAGCCGGCGGCGCGGGTCGGAGCGGTGCGGGCTGCCGCGATTTTGTTGTCAAAGTAAGAAATATTGCTTAGATACGTTGCTTCGCTTTAAAAATATATTCGACAAAATAAAATTTACAATATATTTACATTATAAATAAAACATGCAACGAATTGATTTATTTGCGTTAAAAATGTTACTCTTAAGTAATACCGATTTAATATGTTTTATATTACAACACTAGCAGGTATAGCGTAACTCGTCGCTCCTTTAGGAGATCTTTTACTAAACTTCAAAGTGATTGAAATTTGAGCAAGAAGCTGTATACAGCTTTAGCCTTTTATATAACTAATGTGAAAACTCATCTAAGATTTACAGACTGCCACTTATTCAAAAAGTTTTTATTAAAGTTTCAATATAAAATACAACTTAGTTTTAAAATCGAAAGAACTATAAATAATAATGCTTTAATTCAAATTACTTTTAATTTTTGTTTCTGATCTATTATACAGAGAAGTGGTTATTAATTATAGTTACGTTATGATGCAAACATTATTCCATTATATGAAGTTATGGGAATTACCTAGTTATGAAAATTTCATAATTTATAAGAGCACCATAAATAAGTAAAGCCTTGTAAGCCTGAGATAGTTATAGACGCAGTAGGTTGACGCCGGTGTTACCCGACCGTTGTCGCTCTAATCCCTTTCCCGTGACAAATTAATATGTTCATAGGCAGCCGCGTCACTAGATTACGACGCGTTTATAGCGGCGATTGTATTTTAAGTGTATTATCCAATTTGTTCGATATTATGCGTGCGGTAATCAGCAGTTGTGGAACACATGCCAATGTTTAGGCACAAGCCGTGGTCAGTTACAATGCCTGCATTATATTGTACACGCCGCGATGGAGAGAGCTGGCGAACTTAATAGATTTTGTTGGCGTAACATCCGAAGCGGTCAGCCTATTGCAAACTAACGGGATTACCGGTCAAATTTGCGTTTTGGGTACCCTCCCTGTATGAGAGCACATGTTGTTTAGCAAGAGCAATCTGCTATGTATAACTATACTACAATTCAGCAGTGTGTTCTCGTGTTGATCGCTTAGTAATGATCCCTTTGTTCAAAAAAAAAGCATGAATGTCTTCGTTAGAGAAAGGAGCAACTAGCAAGCCTCTTAAGCTAGAAAGATAGATCACAATAAGAGGTTCAGAGCTTCTCATTACACGAAGGTAAAATTATAAATGACAGTTTGTAGTTCAAAAGGCAAAGAGATGTAGGTGAAAATGCGTCTATAGTGGAAAAAAAATCACATTAAACGGTTACTGCATTGCTATGTCTGGTTGAAGTGTGTACCTTGCCGTTAAAAAGCAACTTGAAATAAAATCGGGAAAATAATTAAAATCGGCGCAAACCATTAAAAGAGCAGTTTATAATAGGAGAGTGCACCGTCGAGTGTCCTTCGTGTAGGCAGTTAAAGAGTTGGAGGAGCGCACTCGAGCACGAGTACTGTAGCGGCGCCACCTCGTGCCGACTAACGAACCTACCGACAAAAACTCTCCCGCACTCCGTACTCCGCATCACGCGTATTAACGATCATAATCTCACCAGCGCACTGTTTGCACACGGAAAAACTAACGAATCTAGATGCCAACCGCTTACACAGAGCGACTTTAGCAATCAATGTTGTCTTAATAATTTTCCTCTTGCTCTTCGCCTAATTCGTACATAAGAAAGTTACAAGGTCTTTCGAAGCAATCACGTTGAAAGTTGATCTCGAAGTAAGTAAATGTTGTAATAATAACATCCGGCCATATTGCCAAAGGAAGAAAATAAGAACAGCTATTCGTTTTATGATCTTTTCAAGAGAAACAATAAAGACAATTGGTCGGTATTAGTTAACCCACCCAACGTTTCTAATTTAGCCTCATGTTTTCTAACAGAAATGTATAATTTAAAAAACAAAACAAGAGAGATAAATATTTATAAAATGTTTAAAAAGTAGATTTTCAGGATTTAAAATGATTCTAATTATTCTCCCTACACATATTTGATCTTTTCAAATTAAAATACCAAACAGATTTAGAGAGAGACTTATACAATTAGAAGTTGTTTAGCATTTAGTATAGTTCGTGTATATCAGGAAGGTACAATATGTATGTACATACATCACAGTTCAACATTTCACATGGAGTCGTAAATTGCTTCCACATGATCACACCTTATACGTCGCGGGAGAATTGCATGGCTAACGAGCAAACTACGAGTTAATGAGTCGCACTTCTTTTTACTCATAGCCGCGCTAATATCTTAATAAGCTTATTGGTGGTCTGTTTTTCGGATATGTTTATTTGCTTCGTTACACATGTCTTTAAAATAAAAAGTTAAACGGTAGACGCGAGTGAATATTTTTTCAAAAATTTCCTATTTACAAAGTTAATACTGTACATATATAACAGTTGTATAATCATATATTACAATGAATGTAGTTGACTAAATGATGTCTAAGGACTGTCGAGAGGACATATTTAAGTAAATATTTTTTGACCATTCCATTTCTATACAAAGACCGTGCGTGATCATGGAAATTATGCCCCAGCCAAACCATTCTTATATAAACAATATGTAGAAGCCATCTTTACAATAAACCTTAAATGAAAACGTCTTCCTTTTTATAACCACCTTAATTTTTTCAATATAAAAATTCATTTCATTGTAGAATTCCCCAAATCTTTGTTACAGGTGGTCCAACACATTTGCAATGTTGAATATCTAGATTGTGCAGTTGCAGCATCTAAAGCCTGCTCTCTCCATTAACAACTCCTCAGTATTACAAGAATCATTTGAAACCAATGTTGAGTGACAACCTGCCATATAACAATTTGCGAAGTTATAGTGCGTTTGGTTTAAGCTGAGCTTTGCATTTGTGTGAGTGCACACGGATAGTGTAGGTGTGATGTCAAATTTTTGAACGCCACGTTCTTTTCTAGTTTAGAACCAGTTTATTCTGCTTTTACTTCGCCCCGCACCTTCCGCACTTCACCTTTTGTAGTCGTAGCAACGTCAAATATTGAAAACGTAATGTCAAGTGAAGATGAATTTGTATTGTTTTTTCAAAAATTTTATTAATTAATATTTTTTTTTACATAACATTCATTATATTTCCATCCGGACTTTTACAAGTTTTGCTTATTTTATAGTACTTATGTTATGTATCTATTTAAAATATAATAATATGTAATTCTAAAACTTTTTTGTCTAACTGTACTTTTACTTTCATTCACACAACTGCAAAGCTCAGCTTAAGTCTAACGGACTATAGTAGTGACGAACACTTTGAAGAATGTTTCAATAAAAATAATATACATCTAATACATACAAAAAAGGTGACCCAATTGTTAGAACCAATTAAGGGTACCAGCACTCAACAAGCGGGTGGATACAAACATTGATACCTATAGATTGTCATATATTGAACAAACAAAGACTACCATTATTACAAATATGAAAGAAAATTTCTAAGAGATTAAAAATAGAGTTGCGTCTAAATAAGAGGTGTTTGACAAACAGTGGACAAGCCATAGTATTACATCCGCTTCGCTCTGGTAAATAAGGCACTATCTTTATATAACAGATTAATTCGAGAGGCTATCGAAATTATAAAACCATCTTAATTTCAATTGAGAAGATGGTTGGCCGTTATTTAATATTTGCATCAAAAATTATGAAACTAATATCCATGACATCAAGTCACATGACAATTAAGAAATCGATGTGGTCAGATGACAAAAACAAGATCAACTGACAGTTGCGTTCATCTTTTCCTTCCGAGTTGACGGATACTGAAAAATTAGTTTAACTGTACTTTAAAACTGTAAGTTTAGTAAAATACAATAACTATATCTCGTCTGCTCGTGATCACGGTTGCTGTAAAGTAACCGAAATGTCGGGAGTATGTAGTTTATAGTCAAGAATAAAAAAAAATCGTGTAGTAAATACGAAAATATTAGTTTCATTTAAATGCAAGAACTAAATGAAAAAATTTTCTTTCTGATAAAGAGGACTTAATAATTCGAGATTCGTTAAATTGATCTGATAATAGTAATATCTAGTAAGACACTGCGATTTACAAACGAAAGGGATGCGGGGCAATGTCTACCTTCAAATGGACAAAGAGCACGATGCGCATGGAGTCCGGTTAGACCTGTTTATTTTGCACGCATTCCAGCCAGCCAGTCGGGAAGGAGCAAGCCATTCCCGAACGGATCGGGAACTCGATTCTTACGCTATATAAATGTCCTTGAAGGCAAAAGCTTTATTGCAAAGTTTTAGAAACGGATTAAGAGGATTAACTGCTTACAAACTTTTATATATTGCTGTCATTGATTAATATTGCCTCGTACGAAGCTGTTTCATATATAAGAAACAACAATTTGTAGTGAAATGTGTTGGAATATTATTACTTTTTTAGTGTTTAGGTAAAGTAAGGCATACCTAAAAGTAACATTCACAAGAAAGTGAGATTATTTTATCGCTATTATGAAAAGCCTTTCAATTAATTTAATATTTAATTGTACTATACAATATGACTTTATAACTTTGTAACCATTAGAAATACGTATAATAATAAGAAAATGTCATTAATAAACAGAATCTGATTTTGATATATTAATAGTGTGTGGTTGTTTATTCATTTATTTGCATACGTAAAGGAGTTTCTGGGGTGAAAATCTCTCGCGCGATATTATACTGGTTTCGTGTCACGTCCACGATGAGAATTTACTTTAATTGGCAAATAATACGTAGGGCAATTAAGGATGCTAAGTCGGGTAGAGACGCGCGTGACGGGACTGCTTAATGTAGATATTCAATTATGCAAACACAGTTGCCAAAGAACTGCTGAAGCTCATATTCAACTTTTTGAAAAAAATTATTGTTATCTCTCCGCAATAATATAGCGAGTTGAAAAGTATTATTCTCGCCTTTCACTTTTTTCTATTTGTTTATTTCATACATCAGCACATTGTATGTAGGCACTTTCACATTATTTTATTTATAACTGTATATTTATTTTTATTCTATTAAATCTTATTCCACTTGTATATCATCACGAAAATAAAAACATATTCTTATACAGACATACATAAGACTGTAAGTAATAATATGTGTACATAATGTATATAAATAATGTATGAATAGTAAAACGGCGTGCTGTTCGAAAGCAGTTGAATGTCGTGATACCCGCCCGGGGGACGTCGGTATTGTCATGTAATACGACGTGCCTCTAGTGTGCTGTGAGACGGAGTTCTGCCTCAGGCTGTAAATGCACTTTCTAGAAACGATTGAATGTTTATCAGAGTTATTCAGACTGGAAGACCTGGGGGACGTAGAAGAATACGATCAAGTGAAAGGAATTACGTTTATTAAAGCATAATAGAACAGGGGAATAAAAATAATGAGCTTTGCGTAAACAACAACGAGTAGCCGAAAAACAATATGGAAACATTTACAATAGACTTCAAATATCTTTAAGTTCATATAATCGCCACTGCAAATAATAATATGTCGTAAATGTTTGCAGATATTAATATAGAAATAGAAACTTGTTCAGTTGCGATGTACTTTTTGATTGAATTCCTTTATATACTATACGCTACTATAATTACCCTTTGCATATCCGTTTGTTGTGTAAGGATTCCAATCTGCTTTCATTACCAACATATTAACTCGTGTGGTCATACAACTTACTATTAATAGGACAATTAAAATGAGTTGCGATATGTTATATTGTCAATAAATACATGGTAAACAAATATTTAGAAACGCTTTATAAGGGTATGTATTAGTTTTTATAACCCGCTAACGAATTAAAGTAAGCACTTCCAAAGTATTTCTTAATTTTAAAAGTATTTCCTGTAACAATTATTGTACTATTAATGATCTAATCAAACGATATTAAAGAAATAAACAGCAATCATCAAATATATGAAAACAACTTGTGTAACTCTTTATTTTTTAATGATTGAATCTTTTAAAAATTACAAGCAACGGTCATTAGCTTTTAGTAATATTATTCTAATCATAAGATTACATCAAAACTAACATTCGAATAAAAATGTTAGCCTTGAATAATCACTTAAATATCAAACGTAGTATATATGGTAAACTAAATTAAACATTACGTGTTTAATAGAATAAGGTATAATATGCATTGCAGCATCTTTGACACGTCCTTTAAATGCATAAGACAGAGCGACGTTCACCTATTATTTTCAATATTCTTAGCATATATTTTCTTATACTATTCTTGTTAGTGATTTAAGAACATGTTGAAAACCTACATTGTTTTACACATAACTCTAAAGTGTCATACATTGTCACTAGGGTAATTATATGCGAGACTCTTAAATAATGTTTGGCTTTCCAATAATAATATAAACATGTATTGAGTACATACATTAATTATTATAATAATATTTCTAGTTTGCCTGTCATAGGATAATGTACATACATTTTTAGCATTTGAATCATAGTTTTAACTATATTAAAGTACTAATACAGTTTGTGTAATTTATGGTCCT